CAATGGAAGCTACGGCTGGTGACACCCTGGTGGTTGAAGCAAAACCACCCTCTACCCTCGTTCAGTCCGCTGATTCATCAGTCAGGGTTGAGGCTGCAGTTGAGACCGCAGCACCAGCAACCCATCAGTGGGACGATACCAGCTGCAGACTTATGGTCAATGCACTGGTTCGTAAAATCATGAAAAGTCCGATAGATCCGGACATTCATGTGACTTTCACTGATATTGAGGGCTTCAGCATGTTACTCGTGAAGATGCTCTGGGAACAGATCAGAGACTCCGAGGTCGCTGTCAAACAAAGCGGCCATCACAGGAACAAGGTCGCCAAGGCGGTGCACAAGGAGTTGTGCAAGCTGACAGGCGATGCAGATATTTTAAATATGTGCCTGCTGTCTCAGGATGCATCTCTTTACAGATGCATAACTGAGACACTAATAAAACATCTGGTGACACCACAGAAGAAGACCGGCGTGAACAGATTCTTCTCACGTCTCTTCAAGACCGTGGCCAAGCCGTTCGCTGCTTGCTTCGGACGCAAAGAGTAATCTTTGACCAGACACGCGTACTAACTGGGATGACACAGGGTTTACTCCGAGAGGCTTCGGTTCGCCCACATTTTAACCATAATGAAAAAAAGCAATTTCAGCTTAAGCGCGGAAGTTCTTCTGGTGGCATACGCGACGTCGGGACATTAGGTGTCATACATGGACCGGACCACGAGTACTACCTGGGATGACACAGGGATTTATCGAGAGGATTGCGGTTCGCCAATTTCAACCATAATGAAAAAAAAAAAATTCAGTTAAACGAGAAGACTGTCTGATGAACTCGTGACATGACATCAGGTGTCATAGGGCCACACAGGTGCCTCGTGCTAACACTGTGTGCTTGTAGCTATAACACCTGTGCACCTGTCTTTCCTGTTTATTCGTGTCTTCTCTCTCTCACCCAAACTGGTCAAGGCAGATGACCACCCACCTAGAGCCGAAGGATGCTGTCGGTCTAGGTTTTCTTGCCTGGTTAAAGCAGTTTTTCCTTGCCCTGTCGCGCCACAAGTGCTTGCTCATGGCTGGTACTGTTGGGTCTCTGTAAATGATTTAAGGGCAGTCGGGTCTGGCCTGATCTTTGTTCTTGGTCCTGTTACAGCAGGGGACGCTGAGGCCAACTCAGCCATGCCACTTGGTTACAAAGGGCATGCTTTTACACCCCAAAAAATACATACTATTAACAATAAAACAACAATATACATAGAACACAACGAACTCCGTCTGATGAGTTAACGTATGCAACTTA